ACTTTCGTGGGCGCCGCCATCTTGAATTCTTAATTCGGCTCCTGATTGGTCCGATTGTTCAAGGCGCCATCTTGGATTTGGAGAACAATAGAGCGCATTGTTCTCCAAACAATAGCCCATTGTCTTTCTCGCCTCCTGATTGGTTACCGATCATATGAGCCACCATTACTACTAACACCCTTACATATGTCATGTAGGTATGGTTTCACTTTGTAATTGAGCCATTTTGGTCATCAGGCAATCCAATGAACCAATCAAAACTCTTAAATACACGTAGCTGACGCAAAGCGAGGGAAAACGTGTGCGAGCGAGTAGTGATTGGTTTTGGTTGATGAAAAAGTATTATGCTTATTGATATAATGATTATGATTTTTGCACGCCTCTTATTGTGTTGGTTTACGTCAGACGTTTCTATTGTTTTCCAATGCTCACAGCGCTCAATGCATCGTGGTCAAAACTTGGTCTTCAGACAATCGTGGGGGGTACCAGAAGAACAAAACGACATTTCGCTCTCGTCAATCTTCTGCCTGTTCAAATATTCATGAGAGCTGATAATAATTTTTCGATCCTTTGGTAAGCAGAAGATGTCAAAACTCACGCGCTCTCGGATCCTTTGAGCGCGCGCTGATGAGAATAGTGAAGATCTATAAAGCTGAAGAAAACTCTTTTGCAGATACGCTTTGCTCAGTCCATTAATTTTTCTTTGATGCGGCTTTTAGTTGTGCTTGGATGAATTTAAGAACTATGGGCACATTTGTGGACTCCTCAGACAGGAGCTTGATGTCAACTCAATTAATTCTAAATTTTTGCTTTCAGTCGGTGCACTTGAGCTGTGCTCAGTTTTTTTTGAAATAAATATTTTTGACCATTTTTTGCCTTACTTTGAAAACAGGCAGTCACAAACAGTACTCCGGAGACCCAACTATAACTTTTATTTTAACGACACCTGTTTTAAGTCACTTAACACGTTTTGTCTAACTGTCGATCTGCCAAATAAATATGCGGAACACCTTTTTTAATTTTCCTTTTAAAATAAAATTATCATACGGTACCCGCGAAAA